CTTGATATCTTTCTCTGTTGCAAGGGGACCCTTTTCTATAAAGCAGCTTCTAAGTGCTCTTCGTGCAGGGGAAAAAACATGAGATCCTGAAACTACATCTCAGGCTAGGAAACAGAAATAATCAATATCATATCCTACATTAGCAGGAACACCAGCTCTTACCACTCCTAAGCACGCAGAGTGACAGCAGACTGCTCTGCACTGATCTACACTGCTTATCTTGCAAGGAAGTGGGAGAGGGAAGGGAATTTCCCTTGACAGAGTGACTCAGATTCTTCACCTGCTCCTAGAGACATCCATATAGATCAAGACATAGTGAGAAAGAGGTCAGTGTCTCAATGCATGTTAAGAATGTCCCACTAAGGAGTCATGACCCCTTGCAGGGCTAAATTTCCCTGAGTTGGGTCCCTAATGAGGTAAACCCCAAAGATTTCTTACCTTCTTAAATGCAATGGCCCATGCTCAGATTTACTAGCATAACAGGAAACAAGGTCTGCACCAGCTCCTGATTTGTACTAAAACCACATCTATTGTTTGATGAGTGAGGCAGAACAATTAGCCCTAGCATTCGGAGGGTTATGGAAAGCAGTGATGAAGACATTGTCATTTGACCACACTGTTTCAGAACACCGCAGGATTTACCATGTCCAAGCCCTAGCACTGCAGTGGGTTGTCTTGAGGAACATTCAGCTAAAGCAGCAGGTAACAGCTCTAAGGCCATCATTACTGTTGAACAGCAGCAGCTTTTGGAAGCGATGTGAAGCATATGGAGAATGCAAGTTTTCCTGCTTCCTCGGTTCATGCTATCTTTGCACTGCAGTGCCATCAGAGAGCAACTCTAGGTATTAACTGACCTCCTTTTCCACTATGATTGCAATAAGTTAAAGGGGTTACTAATGGAACAGGTTAGGTGTCTCCCAAATAACCATCTTTGCCTGATACGTTTTCCCATCTCTGTTTAGTAACATCACTTGAATTCTCATTTTTTGTCCACAGTGGGTATCTCGGGAAGCCCTAATGCAGACATGTGCCACAAATCCTTCTCTAGCCATCTTCCATTTCAGGTGTCACCAAAATCTGAGCTACCACAGCTCTGACACATTTAACACTCTTTCAGAAAACTCAGTGCAGAAGAGACAATATGTCTACAAGCCAAGTAAGTAATATCCTACCCTTTCACCTCAAAACAGCTCAGTCTGGTTAAAAATCATGCTTTATTGGATCAGCTTATGCTTAGGTGCCAGGATTATACCTAACATGTCTGAAATATTATGTCACCTGCACATCCCTGTGAGACTTTACATTGAATATTGAACTGGTGTGCTTCTACTAAAAAGGTGTTTCATATGTTTTGCCTGCTCTAGAATAGTTATTCCAGGCAAGGGGAATAAAAGAAAATTCTGAAGTCATTACTCAGGTATCAATGCTTCCATCAGACATCATACACCTGTAGGGAGTAGCTTTACCCAAATTTCTATTCACCAATCTTTCTGTAACTGAGAAAATTTCATCCCTCAACATTTTTCATGAGTCCTAAAAAGGTGATCAATACCTTTGCTGTTTTTCAGTGTAATACACAAGAACCCTTACAGAAAAATTAGGTCTGTTTTCAAGACAGGCAATACTTTAAACCTCATGGCTGATGGTATTGATCTCTTAGTCATCAATTAAAACCCTTCATCTTATATTCTCAGGAAATATAACTATAAATATTTTTGCTGGTAGATTTTCTAGAACACTGTATTATAAAAGACCATTTATTCTCCCTAGGGAGAGCCACCCTAAATTTGCCTGTACTGTCAACATGAAATAGCTGCCATAAGTCCTGCATTTGTACATTAGTGTAAAACTTTTGAGACAATTTTTATTCAGGCTGAGTTTTCAAGTAATATGCAAGAACAGACACTTATCTTGCATCAGGTGTTGCAGTTCACTGACAAACATGCATGAAAAATTTACTGATTCTAGTTTAGTTTTCCTTGGTTTTATACTTTACATCCATTCTATACCAGTTGTGCCTTAGAGCTCAAAGACATTAGCAATTCCATCTTCTAAGAAGAGTTATAAAAAATGACAATATTAAAGCTCTTTTTTACTTAGTGTCCTGATGATATTACTCCTTTAAAAAACATTACTTTAGTCCAGGCTTAATTGAAAACTATTGTTTTCCTGTATTCTTTCACATTAATTGTCGATATTTGAAATAATATTCTTGATTAAATTTAATTCAGCTGTGCCTCTGAAAAAGGAGTCTTTCCTTTTTCTTTCATTTCATATTCACAGCCTAATTTAAAAAGTGCTAAAATAGGATCCTTCAGGAACCAATCGGCTACCACAGGTCAGCCCATTCTAGCTCAAGATAGATGTCCAGGGTAGATGGGATAAACAGCCCTCTGGACACATACATATCTTTCAACTATGTGCAGCTGGCATGGTTTTTAGATAGAGGAAAGAAGACAAGATTAAACTCACCATAACCTTTGACCAAGATTTATGCACAACACTGACACAGGGTCTTTCTAGGTTGCTTGCTCAAACAGTTTGTAGGTCCTTATTTGTCCTACACATATTTTACAAAATTGTACAATCTCAAAGTCTTCTGTTTGGAATGAAAAACAAAAATGAAAAAAAAAAAATAGAATGTATACTTCTAATAAAGCTTAATTTGAATATATATCAAAGTAGAACTTCACTGTAGATATGCTTGACCTTAGGGAAGAGCTGCCTATTGATAGTGAGAGGATGATATAGCCCTGCCTGTGAAGTTAAGGTTTCTCTTTAGATCTTTCTAATTTCAGTTTTTCTACTCACAACTTTTTGTAGTTTTTTTGGTACATACAGAGACATACACTTTCTAAACAGCTGGACCAAGGAAAAAGAACACTTGTAAAGAAGTTTTATGCAGGGCAATTGTTGTCAGTAGTTGTGAGAAGGCCCATGAGTCAGGCAGTTCTTGTGCCTATACCATGAGAAACATCTGCCTTTACGCCTGAGCTTTTAACAAAGCAAGTAAATCTGATTCAAACAGGGAGACATCCTAACATTTTAAATACCTGTACGAGTGACAAATATTTCTGGAAGAAACAGACTCCTCTGCCACTCTGGCTTTTAAGAAATAAAATGACTCTGAAAACCTAGGCAAAAGGAGGACTTCCCTTTCTGTGAAAGCATGTTTAATTTTGAAAGACATAACATTGTATGAATTCAAGAGAAAATGCATCTGGTTTAAATATGAATTGCATTAATGAGAAGAGGGCAAGAATCTTGTCTTCTAAGTGGTTATGACTCAAATCTTCTAATTATAGCATGCACACATCATAGTTCAGTAAAAAAAAATATCTGGATGGAAGATGCTCAGATATTTGGTGAACCAGTAGCTGATTAACAGTTAACAGAGCTCATCTTGTGGGGGGGCAAAAAAGGTGAGCCTATGTCTTTTCCCATTTACCCTGCTGTAAACCACAAACAGTTCTGCTACTGTCAATGAAGTCACTTTGGTTTTGAAATGGCATGAGGGCAGAATCAATCAAAAAATGTCCTTTGATTAGTTTCTAACTTCATTCAGCTTTCAAAAAAAAGAGTACAATTTTAAGAAAACATACACACAACTCCATATTCAAAATAAGCCAGAAGTCCATTCCCAAAGACATACTCTTAAAAAAAAATCCCAAATCATGAAGCTCTGAAATGCAGCCTTAAAGTGCCAAAGTGTCGTTTGCCTTTACCCAGAAGCAGTGGGACAGAATTATATGCCCTGTGATGGAGCAGGCCCTTCCTGTCCCCCTCTAGCCCCTAGCTCTGTGTCAAGAGGCCATGGGGAACTTGTAGGACTCTGGTTTGCTGCAACAGCTGCCAGAGATGCCCTGTGGGTCTTTTGGATTGTGCAAAAGCTTCAGAGAGTTGCAGAGAAGGCTAGAGAGTCCAAACTGTGCCTCTGTAGCAAGCAGAGGATAGTTCAGATCAAGTGCTGTATCTCAGAGGACTTTCCAAGGATTTGGACAAAAGGAGAGAGAGAGGCTATTGGTCAGCTTCAGAAATGTCAGTAGGAGAAACAGATGGCCAAAAAGCTTAAAAACAAAAAAAAAAGAGTATTATAGCTAAAAAGTAGAAATTAAGAGACTGTTTTTCTGGAGGGAGTTTTGCGGATGAGGTGGGACCTAAATGACTGAGAAAGCATTGGGTGAAGCTGTGAAGTTTTACCACAACTAGCTCTACCATGAGAGATTTAGGGGTTTTGATTGATTAGTCAGAATTCTGTTCTGCCTCAGACTTATTTTGTGCCCCTCCATTTTTTTGCAGAACATAACTGCATCCATCTCTTTGAGATTTTTTCTTTCTTTTGTGCATGTTAGCAGTAACCTTTGTTCCTTTAGATTTTTTAAGACCCTGAAGCACAGGACAGAGGAATTTGCAATGAGAGTAGGATTTTGAATGCAAAGGGTGACTGTGTACAGGGCTGACTGAACACTGCTGACACCAACTCCAACAGAAGCCTGATTACATACCGCACTGACTCACAAACCTTTTGATCCCTGGGATATTAGCTCAGTTGGTTGGAGCATGGTAATAATAACACCAAGGCTCTGGGTTGGACCTTCACATGGACCATTCACTTAAGTTCACCATTCCAATTCAGAACATTCTGTGATTCTGATATTACCAGTCTTCAAACTTCCTTGTACAACCAGATCTATCTGATAAACACCATGATCACTGTTATTCTGAACTATCCTAGATCGCTTACCATCAATGATATAAATAAAATATTTTCCTAAGCTAGTCATACTTCTCACTCCCAAATACTGACAGCACACACAGTACAGCTGAACTGCATCTCTACAGGATCCCAGTCTGGGGATTTGCTCTGTAGAAAAATTGTTTGCAGTAACTTTGACCTGACAGGAACTGAAGATGGATTTGCTATTGGAACTGAATCCCAAAAATTGCTCTTCTCTGAGCTCAGACAGGGAAACAGACATACACACAAAGGAAACACTCACCAGTCTCAGGAGAAGTTGACTTCACAGAAAGAAGTTTGACTCCTTCTTTATCTGACTGGGCTCTGTTGAAATCAGAAAACATTTAAGCAGTCAGCACACATGTTGGTCATCCAACCAAAACGCTAAGATTTTGGTCCTGAGGAGGCAGCATCTACTCCAGTCTAAACTGACAGGCTTAAAATAGGCTTTACATGGGGTCAAGTGGCAGAAAATACCATATACCAACATCTCTGAAAATACCTTTCTCTTAAAATAGGTAATAAATCAAGTTTCGTAACTCCAGGTTTAATCTAGGACCTGACGGAAGAGGTACATCCAGGGAAAAAGGAGTAATATTTTTTCTGTCAATGCAAGCCTTTTAGCCACGTTGAATTGCAAAGAAGGACCACTTCAGATGGCCAAGGAGTCAGGGCTACCAAGTAAATCAGCAGCCTAAATGCTGCTTTTGGTCATACAAGCGGCCACTGCCAGGCTCAATCGTCTTTAGTTTGTATCTTCCAATGTATGTTTCTCAGTTTCCCTCTCCTCACACTCCTTATGTCACTACTATTTCAACTGAACCTGTGCAAGTGGTCTAGTGGAAACAAGATGGAACAGGGGAACATGATATAATGGGGAACAAGAGAAATACATATATAAATAATCCAGAATAAAAAGGAAACACATTAAAAAGAGAGAAAACATGAACAAAAGAAGGGGGGTGGGAAAAGATACAGGGGTAGAAGACATGGGTCAATGAGGCAAAAAGGGAAAAAAAAACTGAAAAAAGACTGGGCAATGAGTCCTGTGGCATAGCATAAACTGTTTATCCCTTTCAAAAGGATAAATTGCAAAACAGTTGAGAGTCACCACATTTCTATCCATGCTGAAACAGCTGCTTATCATGTATACAGGTCTACTATAACTGCAAGTGCAGCACTTTCAACAGGATATTTCTCTTTGGGGCGGCAACTGATTACTATATTTAAACAGAGAAAGATCAAAGAAAATCCTATGCAAAATCTGCTACATTTACAAGTGCCCTGTGATAGATCTCAAAGCAATGAAAAGAATTCAACCTACTGTTCAGCACCATTCTCTTGTCTCTCTGGAAGAAGAAAAAAAGTTAATATCATTTTGATTGCTGGAATTCAAACCCCAAACATTTAGACATGGCAATTGCAGCTGTTAGCAGAAGGCTCAGTTTTAATTTTGCAGTATTGCATTAAGTTCATAAACACAATCAACCAGCTTGAATAGAAATTGTTGTTTTTCTGGTCATCTATGGAAGTGAACTGATGTTGCTTGTACCAACACTTCTGCAAACCAAGGAGAATGACATTTGGCTTGTCCAAGAGAACAACAGAAGCAGTTTTTTCCCTGCAGCTCCCCAAACCCTGGGTAGCTGGCATAGAGGATGTGAATATGTGATGGTTCTCACGTACACAACTGAGCTAAAAGATACAGGGTAAGGCGACTGAGGGAACAAGGGTGTTCCTGAGGCTGTACTCCCTGGGGGTACAGCCTGGCATGACATCTGATAACAGAGTTTGTCATCCCCCTCGATGAGGAACAGGTTTGTCTCCAAAATGAATCATATACTGAATATATATTTATGCTTATGTGCAGTGTGGGCAGATGGAAAGGGCCAGGGGGTTACGCGGAGCCAACTCCATGGCACCAAGCACAGAGGAAGTGCACAGGATAGATCTAGGCAAATCCTACAGGAAGCACTACAGATATCTACTCTATCTTCCAAAGGACTTTGCTAATACAATGCCTGATGACATGTGTGCATAGGGGAGGCTGGTAAGGAAATGTTCTTCATCTCACATCTTTATCTCTTGACTCTGAATATTCAATAATTTCCTAAGTAAAGAGCACACCTTCCTCTGTTTATCTGGGTCTGTTTTTCCATGTCATTGGCTAAATTGGCTGTGACACACTGTTTGTCTTGGTTTACAGCTTCAACACCCTGTTTCCAAGGCCTGGTGATTTCACAGTTCTGCACAGGTCTCCTAACTCATGCCAGCTCACAGGGACAGAAAAACCACAGTTTGGATTCAGATCTGGTTTTTTTTAACGGAAATTTACACTTACCTGAAGCCTACTTGGGCAACCCTGAAACATTTGGCAAATAAACTTTGATGGAACTATAACTCATTATCTTAAGTATTTAATGGACAATAGAGAAACAGATAGTGACTTTAGCTGCTCTGTCAGAATTACTATTCCTGAAAATACTGTTTGCTCAGGGATTATGCTCCATGTGCATTATACTATAAGTGGAACATTTTACTCATGCTTCATGTGCATGTGTGTGTGTATGTATCAGGTATATCCCAAAAGAAAACACTGACATTTCTTTGCCTGTATCTAGAAGAAAGATAAAATAGATAAAGTGATTTTGTTGAATATCTTCGAATTTAGTTTTCACTGTCTATTTCTAACTGATTGATTGTGTTAGCACAGGTGTTGTTAGCTCTTTGTAGCTGCAAAAGCATGAACAAAAACTTTACAGCATTATATATTCTCCAAAAAATAATTTTTACTCACTCTGGTCTTCATACTGATTTTGAAAATGAAGTGTTAGTTTCCCACTTTATGCAAAGCACAAAATATAAAAAGCTTTCCCACCAGACCCCAGACCACTGCAACAGTGATGGTTAAGGTAATCCAAAAGAGATCTTTTAATAATTAAAAGCGCACTGATTTTCCAACCCCCCCCCCGCAGAGAAAGCAAAGCAAATACCTGGAGTTTTCTTCTGGCACATTTTGTACAAAGCCACAAGTGAGAAGACAGAGAGGGTAATGACTATCAGGGTGATGACAATTGGCAAGATAATATCTGCAAAAGAGGGAGAACATAATTTTGGCTGCTGCCTCTGACTTACATTGCCGCTTACATTACAAGTGTAAAGGTACTTGCACACACTAAGGTGAGAGGCACCTCCAGCTCCACTTCACCAAGCATTACTCATTTCTCTGGAGAGGGTAACCTACTGCTCCTGTTATTCTTCCTGCAACCACTGAGCCTCAAGCTTGGATGCTTCGTGGAGGAAAGATTTAGGCTTCTTCCTTCTCCCACCCTTACTCCTTCCCTGACACTCATGCTGCCCTGTGGAACTGGTTTCACCCATTTTTCAGTAAAAGAACAAGGTTTCAGCACCCCCTCACTGGGCCCACCATAATTTTGATGAAAGCACTCATCATTCAACCCCAGTGTTGATGGCCTCCAATAGTTTTGTGAGAAAGTTTTGTTTTAGAAATACTTTTTTTAAACATGTAATTTATTTTTCCCTCTTTTTCTGAAAAAAAAGACAAAAAAAGAAAAAAACAGATCTGTCTGAAATTCAGCAACTGAAGTGATTATTTTGCTTTTAACATTGTGCACCCAGAAAGACACCAAGGAATTGCATCATTCAGTAACATTCCCCACAGCACTTACAACCAGGGATAGAAAATGCAAGATCTCCTTTTAAAATGAGGACATTTCTTTCCTTTTATTATTTCCCACCATCTGCCATTTCCTGACAGGTGTTTCCCAGCCAAGAAGCAAAAAAAGGAAAGAATTATGTAATGAAGAGAATCTTTCCCTGGGAAATATATAAGCCCAGCTTCCCCCTTTTTGTCATTTCTCTGGCAGCAACCAGCCACATTCAAATTCAGCAGGCACTCTCCTGCCTGCTGGCCTAAGCCCTGTGTCAGGGGGAGGCTGCATTCAAGGGCTCTTGATGCAATTAATATTTAATATTCATATAGATGCTTCTGTGCATCTATGGAACTAGAGGGAGACAGTTTACTGTGGGAAAACATCAAACATATTTTGCTTAGTCAGTACTCCGGGTTGGAAATAGAGAAGCTGCAGCAACACTCTTGCCCCAGAGATGCATAATATTAAAATGAAAGATTAAGTAGCATGCATCACGCAAATACCATGACAATATGAATAATATATTAATATCATACATTCACAAAAATACATTCCTATAATGCGTACAACATGTATATGAGCAACTTTTTCGTATGTTCCCTTGTGTCTTTTCTAACAGGGGATGACTTTCTTTTGTTGGCTTTTTTTTTTCAATCTTACCACTTAGAATCAGTCCTTGGGAATAATTGTGCTGCTCTTCAGTGAGAAAAGTGTCAACTTATTGAGCTCTGTTTCTCTTTGAGAGGAGTTTTATAACCAGCACTTAAATTTGGTTTGTAATAGGGCCTAAATCTGGTAAGGCTAGAAATAAAACAATTAAGAATACTCACTGGAATAGCTGATATCACTCCCTGTCTGGTTTCCAGAACTGCTTTTTGGACTTTCAGAAGTTGGGTCTGCAAAAGAAATAGGGCCTTTCAGGTAAACATGTATTGCTGGAATTTCCCAAACAACTCCCTCTGAAAAATTACCCTCCCAGAACAACTTCTGTGTCCCCACTTCTGGAGCTTCACTTGGTGCTTCACATCTGTATTTCTTCTCAATAATACTTGGATAACTTGACAAGAGGGGGGAAAAAGTTTATCTAGCATGGGCTAAAGAAACATGCACTTTGTACAGGTGCAGATTTCCCTAGGATCCTCTGCTTGCCCACCTACGGGTCATGAGTTACAAACTTTTTCACTTTTAGGAGGTTATGGTACTGTTCAGCATTACAAGAGTATTTTTAATAAGTAAATAAACAAGAAAGAGGGTGAAAATTAGACCTGTCTCCAAAATATTTCACTGCTAATTAAAAAAATAAAACTGCTAATAGTAGATGAAGAAGTCCGAAGAGGTGCAATACTAGTAGACAGCAAGTTTCTTGAGTGTTGCTGTAGAGGAATGTGCCTGCTCTCTGCCCCATTTGGAGAGAGCAATGTTGTAAGCCTCTGGGACATATTTTAAAGCTGGGTTTAAAGGAATGCATTTCTACCTTCAGGTGCTTATCTGAATTTGAGTCAGATATCAACAATGCAAAATATTTACTACCTTGCTGCATACAGCCCATGAGAAAACAATTACTCATCTTCCAGAGAGAAAACAGAAAATGCAAACATTGGCATTTCCCTAGGTACGTTATATAGCATGTGGGATTGCATTCCATATTGGATGGAGGCTGGAGTAGACAAGTGCTCACTGCCACTAAATGAACCGAGCATCTGGACAGATGGGATGCAAGGTCAAGCATTCCCATTGCCTGGCTAAATACCAGAAGTGGCTCTCTAAGGCATCTGGGGAAGGTGATCTGTTAAAAAAGGGCCCTAGCAGAGGTTATAGCTCCATATATAAGTACTAAGAACCTGGCAGCAGCCACTGAGGTTTTGTTGGTCAGGTACCTACTAACAATTCACATCTGTAAGACTGTATGGCTCCTCTTGCAAAGAACACAAGAGAGCTGAAATTGTAGGGTGGAAGCTATGAAATTAATTAAGTCATTAAAACCAATATCCTATGGCCATTTTGAGGTCTAGAATACAATTTTGTTATACTAAGTCTCTGAAAGACATGTCCCTATTTTTACATAAACTTTCATGTAGGCAGTACTTGTAACGCTAATCCATGGAGTTAAAGTAACAAATGAGGTTTACTTGTCCCAGCCATCTAGGAATTCCTCTTTCTTGCAAAACTGATTTTAAACCCTTGCCCACTATTAAAAAATGTTTTGGTGGTTGTTTTCTTTCCCCCTTCCCCACCCTTCTACCTTTATTTTTCTGGACATAGACAGAAGCCTCTTGGGAAAAAACTATCACTTACTAAGTGCTTGTGTGGTACCTAAACAACAGTCATAGCTGAGACATTCTGATGCTATAGTGCAGGAAACAATCATTGTCCAAGACTTCATCTCTGAAAAATCACTGCTTTTTTAAAGCAGAAATTCTTTTTCCCTTGGTGCCTGTCTGCTGAGGGGTGATAATGTAAGGTTGGAAACTGAGCCATCATCAAGTGACTAAAATAATTCCTATGCATTCTTAATTGCCTGTGACTGCTTTAGACTTCCCAAGGAAATACTACTGCCTTTTTGCTACCTTATCTGGTATACTACATGATATACATGGCAAGCAGGCAATTATCACAGCAATGAGCTACCCTGGATACTGACTGGAAATGTCAACAGAAACAAACTGCACCAAAAAAGAGGAATGCATATCCCTGCATTTGTACAGGAGATGTGTGCCTCTCCTCAGGAGAAAAACTGAGGACTGAAATCCACGTTTTTTGGGTTTTTATCCTGGTTATCTGTTAATTGACCAAGATGTGAGTAATGAAGGAAAGAAAAATCCATAGGTTAGCATTTTAAATGCTTGTGACCATCAATAAGAAATATGACAGTTGAAAAGAAACATTACTGAATAAAACAGAGCAAGGAACTAAAACATTAAACTAATTTCTCCACTTCTTTCATTAAAGTTTCCCACAAGTCGTCCCTCCTGTCTAGTTTGTCTGGATCTGGAAAGTATTTTCCAGTTATGGAATAATCTGGAATCAGAATAAAAATGAATTGGAGAACTACAACCATCATGGTAACAGGAGGGCCAGGATTTTGCACGCAGCAGCAGCAAGAACTGCAGGGAGCAGTACAGAAGAAACTGTTTCCTGATAAGCCCAGAGAAAGGAAAATAGGACAATACAGGTTCATTAGCACAGGAAACTTGCCTTACTTTGGGACTTTATGCTTCTCACTACAGGATGAGGAATGAGAGCCACTGACAAGAACAAGCTCCTTGGTAAACATTCTATTTATAACAGCTTCCCATTCCATCACATAATATGCCAGGCCTGATTTTTTCTGTGGTCCCACCCTTTTTTTCTTTCCAGTATCTGCTAGTCCAACATAGTATTCAGCTGAAATCACAGCAAAATTACTCAATGCTACAAGCTGAACATCACTCTTTTGCTGCTCTATACTGTGTTTCAGGTACATTATTCCCCTAGATCCTTCTTGCTCCCTGAATGTTTCCTTTCTTCAGGCTGTCCTTCTCCCACCCCACACCAGCCTTTTTCATTAGTAGTCATAGAGCAACCTCTTCTATTGCTCTTACTTGTTGAACTTGTTGGAGAGCTCATGGGAAGGTCTGCAATAAAACAGAAAGAATAGGTTTGTTAGTATCTCTTTTAGATATCCAGAGTCTTCACATCATGTGAACTGGCAGGGTCTAGGAGCATGCCCAGTAACCCCCACAACAAATGCTGCCCCAGAAGTGACATGCTAACACTGTTCACAAACCCATAAAATCTGAGCTGTAAAAGTCTTCAGCCATCTCTTATACATGGGAGCAGAATCCAAACCCCAGCCTATGCTAAGTTGTTATTCTGCTCAAGAGAAGAAAATCCTGAATTAATTGATACATTCCTTTAAAACTCCTCCTTCCAAAACCAAAAAAGTGACTGGGAGTGAATAGCTGACATTTACTTGACAAGTAAGTGTTTTAATAAAAGAAACTAATTGAGACACATCTTCAAGAGTCACAAAACCCTTTAAAAAGAAATCTTTGTTTATGATCTTGGTGCTTTTGGCTAGCAGACTGCCAAGCAGCAGAAGCAAGAGGCACTAGTAACGAGGAAGAAATCGATCTTACAGAGCACTGGGCACAATGTTTACTGGCTCTACTGTCAGCTTCCCCCAGCTACTTCACAAGTTTTTGGAACACAACATATTTTTTTTTGTTAGCGTGCTGCTGTTCCTGCTGTGTCTAGACTGTAGCAGGCTTGGAAATCAGAGTGGCTGTGTCCTCTGTGTCCCAGCTGTGCCAGGATGGGGGATCACAGAGGCAATATCATGAAGGCAACTGTAATTCCAGGCAGGCATTAAGCCTGTCCCCTGACTGCCCAGGTTGCAGTGCTCCTCTAAACCAGTTTCCCCAGGGAGCACAAATCCACTCTTATATCCTCACTGCACTTTCTGTGCTGTGGACTGGTGCTTTGCACTAAGAAAACTCCTACCAGCAGAGCTGTAACACACATTGTTCTATTGCTGTGAACATACTCTTTGAAAACCAGAATGCTGCTCTTGTTTTTCTTTCTCTCTACACACAAAACCATGGATCACTTCTGCTGCTGGGGTGCAAATAACTGCTTTTGCTAATGGTACACGTGACAAAACTTAAACTGCATTTTAATCACAAACGTTCATCAAAAGTATGTTTAGGTTGAAAAGCTAAGTACTCAAAAGTCAACAGTAAGAGCTCTTCTTGAACATATTAAATATTTGTAATGCTAAGTATCTTGAATGTATACCGTTACCTCACCCTGGCTTCCTAGAATGCAGAGGAGACTGTTTCCTAAGCTTTTTGTCATCTCATCAATCCATCTGCAAACAGCAATATCACTGTGCTCTAAGAGGATCTCTGTGATGAATCACTAAGCATTGTTTACAGTATGTTTGGGCAACATTACCAACAAAACCAAGCCAAAGCCTTCAGGAAGTTAATAAATCACTTGTCAAAGGAACAACACACAGTATAGGATGCAGGAGGACACATACCTGGCATTAAGGAAATATCCAAATACGATATGATTGCTTATTACCAGAATACTGCCTTTCTTTCAGCCAGGAAGGTGTAGGATGCCATGATAAAAATACCATGTGATTCCACATCATGTGGGCAAACTAGCAAACTTTAAGGCCCTGTGCATTCATATTCTCAAAGAAAGGCAGAAGACTTTGTCAAGCCTTACAAATAGGTCACTTCTCTATGAAACCACTTTGAACCTTGTCTCTCAAGTCTGTGGAACTTTCCTTCCAAAGAGCTCTAACATACTATATTTGAACGTTTTCCTTTACATTCACTCTTAAAACAAGGTGAAGTATCTTGGCTCAAATTAAAATAAATAAATACATAGAAAAAGCTTTTTAAGGCCAAGACTGATACCCAAGTTCGACTCGAAGTCTCAACAGCTTTTCAAACCTGAATGCAGGTGACATAAGTGCAGGTGACATAAGTCTCTGCAAACAGGAAGGGCTGGGGATGTGCTTCAGTACCCACTGGCACAACCAAAAGCCATGCAGCTGTCCTGGACAGACCTTGCCTCTTCAGTTAACCCAGAGATTAGAAATTATCACAGGGAGGAAACATGTCAGCAGCTGCCTGCCCTCTTCTTCTGGGCCTCTGTTATTTTTTAACAACTGCACACACCTACACACAATAAAACTACCAGCATCTTTCCAGAAGGTATCTCACCCAGGTTTTGCTACAGTATGAAAAATTAAATTGGAAAAATATCATGCCTTCCTCTCTTTCCCTGTCTCCAGTATGCAAGCAAGGCACTGGTTCACCCTCTGTTCAGAGATTGCTCACTCCTGCCACGAAAACAAAGCTGTGCTTATCGGAGTGATTCAGCAGGTGCTGTCAGTCTGCATTTTCTAAATAACCATCCAGTGCCCTTTTTGGTGCAGGCTCACATGCTGCTGTTCTCTAGAAAGAGAAGGACAGAAGGAAAAGCAGCATTTCACTTGGTAACAGTAACTGTAGTTGCTCTAGCTGCCTGTACAGAGCTTGCTACCTCCTTTGGGGCTGCAAGCAAGATGCTCTGCATAAATAATCTGGGAAGATTTCCAGATTCATGATGAAAAGTGAAATGTGCAACACTGGCTGTGCTGGGTTCCTCCTTGTGCAGTAAGGAGGACAAGGATAAAAAAATTGGCACATGACCATGGTTTGATTTGAAACTACCTGCCTGAGTCAGTTCAGCATTGGTGAGAAGCTCGACAGATGGAGAAAGAGACCAATAACTAAACTCTCCCCACTTTATTCTCCAACAGCCGCTACCTAAGCAGCCTGGATACCCTGCAGTTTGCTACTTCTGTTTTTTGGAGTACTGCCACATCCAACTGTGTTCACTGGCAAAACAAACGAATACATTTGGCTGATTACTCAGAGGGGATATACCACAATATAAATCAAAGCAAAATTAAAAACTTGAAAAAGCCTTTCTTGCCTTGACCACACCATAGATCTGTAATAGTGTTAACTGAGGCTTTGCCATGTTTTCTATATCCCAGAAACTTCTGCTTTTGTCTCTCTCTCTTTGTGAAGGAGCTGAAGATACAGTGGGTAATTTTTACCTAATATCACTATCCAGAGTTCCTTCAGTTTGTGTACAGAAAGAGTCAAACCCTACTAGTCTTACTCATAAAAAATTTTCTTAGGGAGATGCCTCCTGTGAATCAAGTGAGTAGGATTTATAATTGGAGGAGTGCAATAAAGATATCAATAGATGAAACAGGTTGATTCATCTGACAGTTTATTATAATAGATCATTTAATCTTACCATCCTGCTGGGTGAACTTAAGCTCATACTGCTTTATGGATTTTTTCGTTGTTTAGATCACAGAATAAAAAGCCACAATACTTGCAGTTTCTCAGATGTATTTAGACTCTAATCTCCAATTTTTCATTAATTAAACAAAAGGAGAAAATTAAATATTAGCAAGCAATCCTCTGTGGAGGTGGAGAAGGAGTGGGAGGTATATTCTACATGACAGCCAAAGTTAAAGAAGTGTATGTGTCAATGGCGTGCATGCAGGTTGCTCTCTTTGCTAAAAACAGTCCCTATTGCCTCCTCTAGCCTGGGTGAGCACCACGCAGCACCTCCTCTGTGGCTGGTGCTTTCAATCTCCTCTAATACAGCAATACTGATCTCTGATGTTCATACACGTTCTTTCCCAGGCTCCCCCACTCATCTCAGTCACTCTCCAGCTCTCTGTAGCACTCCTCCCACACCCTGATCTTTTGATATGGCTGATTGGAAATTTCTCTGCAAAATGTGCTTTCTTCTTTTTCTGCATCAAGAAAGGAAACTTTCACCAAAATGGCATTTTTTTAAAAAATGGAAAATGGTCTCAAAATGAAACATATTTAGCCAGATGGATTATTTCGGTTGGGCATGCCAAATATAAATATTCTGGTTTGGATCCATTTCACATTAATTTGTCTTCCTCTGAGCTCCCACGCAGAAGACATGGCTCAGATACCTCCAGCTTGCAAGCTATTCTATCCCCCATGGGCTGCAGCCTTGGCACATGCCAGCCCCTGCTCTGGTGAACAAAAGGCATCCAGGCCCTGAATGTGAAATTCTGGAGACCTAGAAATAAATAATCTAATGGCAGTGAGAGAGGTGGTATTTCCTCTAGTCTCAGCACAGGATGAAACAACTGGCTTCACACTTGCATTGCCTTAAAATTATTAGGGTGCAGCATATGGCTTCCTCTGGGCCTGAGCAATTGCAAAGAGGAGAAGAAATCTGTTTAGAAGAAATCAAGATGATTTTTCTTTGAGTCTTCAACACATACAGAGAATAAGGGAGCAAGGGTGGTCTAAGGCTTAACTATTTGGGATAAGCTACCTAGCACATCAGGGTGAGAAAGGGGCTTTCTTGCATATACAAGCTTCAAGAAAGAAGCAAGGACCTGGTGCTGTGAGGAGACAGGAAAGGTGATAGTCTGGAAATCCTGGTGTGGGCAGAAGTGATTTTGAAATGGCAGTTTTATGGGAACTAGGAGCACTGGCTGTGCCAATGATACCTAGACTGACTGCCCCTAGATAGATGGGTTCTTTCTCTCTCAGCCAGGTAATTATAGTTCTGGCATCTTGGGTATTCTCTGAGCTCAAGATTTATTGGTTTTACAGCAGAGTAAGCTGAGTAAGATGATGACTTTTGCAACCCCAGTAAGGTTGTAAAACTTTCTTGACAACTTTTAAGTGTAAAATGTAATTGTATATGCAGCATAGTAGGTAATTCAATACACATGATGCATAGTCAGATATGCATTACAATTTAATATTAACCTGGAGAATTTACCAGAGTGAGAGACCTTTTAATTTAAAATGTTGTAATTTACTGTTTTATTGCAATATAGCAATGGTGAGGTTTCCATACTATGCCTATATTTGCCAAGAGACACAAAACCTAACAGGAAAGCCAAGTAACTACAGGTCACAGTATATGCATTATGGGGAATGGGCTCATTGAAATAGTTACAAAGACTTCTCTCTGAATCAGTGGCCTTGAGTTGACTTTAACTTCTTTAAAATGCTTATAATCTTTTTGCATTCTTCTAAGTATTTCAGAGCATAGTGAGCATATGATATTGCTCCACTTTTATATCCAATCCTATCCTTTATGAGGAAGAATCACAGTATACACATGTGCTTCTCTCCCACAAACACAATCCAGGGGTAGCAAAAAGAGTCTTGTATCCCTTAGGGGATGTTAAACATTACTATTAATAATAGAGATATGCAAACAAAGAGAGTGTCCTTCTTGGATTTACACACATGTGGCTAAGAGTAAGTACTAAATGAAGTTAAGGCCCAAGAGACCTTAAGAAAACCTGAATAAGTGGTTCATCAAAACCTAGGAAAGTTAAGCCAGCTAGAAGCATAATAAATAATTATTCCTATGACCTGGCATCTGCATTCACCACAGTGTTTCTTAGTGAATACATACACTAAAACACACCCAGAAAAACAGTAAGACCAGACTGGAATTGGGAAGAATTTATGTATTTTTGACCTTGCATGCGACCATGTTGTACTTTTAACATAATTTAATTGGTAATACATATTATATTTATCTCCAGATTTTTTAACAACTGCGAAAATTACAGCTGTTTTCTCCTTTGTCTCCTCTGCCTTGCAGCCAGGGAATTTATCTTGATGACCTCCTCTGACAGTCAATGCTACACAATGACCTCACACAGCTGTTGGCTGCTAGGTGGTCCGTGGAGATCCAGCGCTCCAGACCCAGGAAGCCGCCAACTTTCCCAGAGAGAGAGTCCTGCAAAGGACTGCCTTGTAGGGGCTCTTCTGGCAGGTCTCCTAGCCCCTGGATAAGCCTCAGCAAGAGGTGGCCGTGGCCACAAGTGATCAGCTCTGATCAGTGATTTCAGCTCTGCTTGCGAGGCCATCCCAGGCCGACTCAGAGACAGAGAGACAGGAGTGTCATATGGCAAATTCCACAAAGGTTCCTTTATTATCCAACAGCTCTGGGAAGGGAGCCAGGGATGACTGCTCCCTAAAGAACTGGGAGGAAAATTGGGGTTTTTATGGGGGAAAGCAAGGGTGGTACCAAGGGGGAAAGACCAATGGGTTACAAAGGATAAACACGGGTACTAGGGCATGGTGGGATAACAGAAGCTTTTTGGGGATAGCTCACCATGATAAGAAAAGGTGTGCCAACCTAAGGACCATCCTTCCAGGAGGGTTCAGCTAAGCTAATCACAGCCCATGCAATGGGACATCCCTCCAGGGCAAGGCTGTGGGTGGAGCTGTGGCAGGCCCATGGGCCTCCACACGCAGCATATATGAAGATTACTCATTATCACTTGTAATTTATATCCTCTTGTAAGTCCACCACGTATCTCAACTGAATGTTTGAAAGTTCAGCCATCACTCAACACTTCAGGGCTAAGTGACATGGACACAGTGTACCCTGCATGAATAAGGAGATGTGGGCCTCATTCCAGAACAATGCATAGAAAATGAAGAAAAGACTCAAAATTATTTGCATTGTTTAAACTGCTTGTATAGAGAAAGAAAGTGTATGTTTTCAAGACTTACCTGAGGTTCCAGAAGCAGAAGTGTTTCTTTCTGGAGAGACCGTAGAAGGAAAAGACTGTTCTGTAGTAGATGCAGCATCCAAACTCTCATTTTGTGCCAATTGTGTTACACTTGCTTGTGTGGCTAGAAATGAGAGAGATGTTCAGGTAAGAGGAACCTGCACAAGCACTGTCTTAGATCCGGGAGCATCCCTCAGACAAATGCTCTGACCATCATGGAAAAGACTTAAAAAGACATAAAAGACATAAGAAAGCACTACAAGTTCTGGTAACTGCGTCTCAAGGAACAAACCGTTCCTAGGGAATAGTTACTTCTGACATAGCTGAGTCACCATCAAAGCACATTGTAGCAAGAGAAATAGCCTCATATCTATGCCAGAAGACAACCCAGAGCTCTGAATTGGGACCCTAGAATAGTTAGGCAGTGTTGCACCAAGAGCAACATGAGCAGAAGAGAGATGCTCAACTTACTGTCCTCTAGATTTTCCTTCATTTAAAAATCAATCAATCAATCAATCAATCAAGCTTCAGTTACAACTCTCACATAATGTGATATTGTATAAAGTTTAAGGATTGCAATTAAGCAAAGAGGTAATAATTTCATTCTGTGCTGCTAAGGCCTAGGAAATAACATATCCTTGAATATTAAATTATGAAAAAAAATAGTCTTATTTCTCCTCTCACTCAGTCAACAGGAGATCAAGGCTATTGTGTCACAAGATTTGCAGCCTAAGGTGAGGCCAAGACAATGGTGCAGGACATGACCTAAGCCTGTGGAACTGAAGGTCACTGAATGACCAGAAATAATTTAAGATATTCCAGCACTGCCCATAATTCCTACGTCTGTACTCAAACCTCAGAATAATAACAGGCAAGACAGTGCCTACTGAATAAAACAAAGAGATGCCCAAGAGTAACCTTACACTTCCTGTCTGATATAAATCAGAGAGGCGACTGAGCTGTAAACTGTTTTCAGTGCTTCTTCATATGAATTTTAAACACTAGGACTAAAACAACTTTAAGACATGTTTCAGTCAGCAAGTAACATCACACACATGCAATATGTAAGTCTTGAGGAATGCTTAATGACACACTTAATCTTGAAACTGATTGCCAGTTTGGTCCCTCAAAGAACCCAAAGCTCCCTATTCTACAACTACACACCTTTAACTTGGCCTTTTCCTTCCCCTCTTGTTCGTTAAGTGCAGTACCTTAGAAAGGCAAGCTTCAAAAATCAATAAACTAAGAAAAAATGAGTTGAAGTCAGGGGATTCATATAATTCTGGAAACTGAGAGAAGCTGGGCAGCCAGGGATGGTGTCTTTCAAGGTTGAGGCATGAAAATGATGCAAAACAACTTCAGTGCCTAAAACTTTCACTGGGATTCTAGTGATGAGAAACAGAATTTCATGTCAACTTCCTTCAGAAACTTCAGCATTCTACCCCTTCAATATACAAGTCTAACCTGCAGTATAGAAGAGTGCAAAAAGCCCCTCTACCTCATTTTTCATTATGCAGTATAGTGCAAGGATCTGAGAATGTTAACTATTCCTACATTCTCTTAATGGAAGCTTTAAATCAATCTTTAGAAGCAAACTTTTTCCGCATTTGATTCTTACTATCGTAGCATCAGGTTCAAATTTTATGTTGAATTTTAATCTAAGATCAATTTTTAAAAATGGAAAAAAACCCCCAAACCTGAGGTACCTCCCTATAAGATGCACAGGCTTGTAGCAGTAACAGCTGCCATCTTGTGACTCCCTTGTCATAGGTTAGTAAAGGATTGCATGGGAAAATGAAAAGTAAGTCAGAATAACAGTGCAGAGACACTCAAATACAAATATGCTTTGTGAACACTGCAAAACAATCAGGTGTGTGGGAGAGAGGAGGAGGGAGGCAGCCAGTTACCTTATAACCCCACAGAGGACTGTTTTCCCATGGGGATCACTCATTCCACGCATCCTATCAGTCCTGGCAGCAACCCAGCCTCGGGTGCTCCTCTAGTGTTTGGGAGCTGTGAGAACAGATTGTTCTCAGGAATACGGGCTGTGAGCTGGATATGCCTTGGCAGGGGAGGGGAGGGATGCTGGCATTTTGATTTTTAATTTTTTTTTAATTTTTAAATTTAGCCTGGGTGAGATTCTCCCAGTGACCCAGGTAGCACCAGGTATGACTTAGACCTTTACCTAGGGCTTGGCATAAAGGTTGTTGCATTTATTTTGCCAGACTGCAGAACAGGCTCAGTGATCCCTGTGTCAAGGGGTAAAGTAAATGTTGCTGCAGGGCAAAAATCCGTGTGCCAGTTTTCACCACTTCCAAGATGGAAAGCTCGACCTGGTGGGTAAGGCTCCCTTAATTCCACTGCAAGATTAAATCCTAGCAACCCAATTCTCTGCTGACTTGTGGCTTTGAAACAGCTTTTAAGCAGCATTCAAGCCTCATGCCTAATGCACAGCACAGGCTCTACCACCAACACATTTAGCAGATGAGACAGCTTCTGCACCAAAAGCCTGTGGGAACAGAAGCATCCATACCCAGCCGCTGCTCATGTACTCAACAGCACAGAACGCCTGCTAGAGATGTGCCTTTTCGGTAAATCCCGTACGTCCTGTGTTTCATTTCGGTGGCTGCGGTGCCCGAGCTCGGCGCGGGGACAGGCGGAGGACCCTGCGCGGGCGCGGTGACTCAGCCCTGCCGTCGCCGCCGACACAGCGCTGCAGTTATTCATCACGCCTCACTCAGCCAGCTGCAGCACGGATCCCTGCCTGCTGCCAGGGGGACGCCTGGCCTTGCAGAACACAGCACAGCGCACAAGGGCGGCTGCTGCTGCTGCAAAAGCGCTCGCATCATCGGTTCATGGGTTTGTTGTCGACAGCTGATTATGAATAAAAATGGTAAGGCAGTACAGAGTGTGAAATAGCTGTCCAAATGGGGGATGATGGCTGCGGCAGCAGAACTCTCTGGTGGTGATTCGGCTCTCCCTGCTGATATTTTGATAAGATAAATGGCAGCATGCTAACACGTATTTGGCAAAGGGATAATCAACAGGGAACCTGAAGCTGCCCTGCAAAGCTGCTCTCTGAGCTTCAGGAATTTCCTTTCTCTCTATGTTTTGAAAACCCTTCATTTTCCTTGACCAGCTGAAATTTGACATATATCCTCACTTAATTTTAGCATGGTTTTCTACTTTACCTACATATAATCCACATACATTTTGGCGTTTTCCGACAGTACTTTAAATTTTCTTTACAGTAAGCTGCTAGCTAATTAGTTTTGACCTTGTAAGATGCTTCAAGTAACCCACAAACACCCTGCATATAATCTGTGCTCTGCAAAGACTATAGACATCTCAGTGTGTTAAAACCTTTCTTGATCAACAATTCAATCAAGGAAACACTTTTAAGGGGCAAAACAAACTACATGCAAACCACATTAAAATGCCAGCACAAAACCATTTTTTAACTGGAAGACTAAAGCTTTTCCCTTGAGCTCATATTTTTAGCATTAACACACATACAGGCCTTGCCTCCATAATAAAAAAAATAAAAAATAAAAAAGCCTGAAAAGCCATTTGCATTATTGAGTGCCCAAAAGCTTTGAAAAATCCCATTGTAGCAATCTCAATGACATTTTTGCCCATTCAGAGGAATGAAAATTGCCTAGGGAGGTAACCAAACAGATCTCAGTTTTAAAGTTTACATCCATAGTTGACTGCATATGCTGTCTGCAACTTTATGTTTTCTGGTAAGCAAAACCCCAAAGTATTTAAAAATGCATATTTTAAAATTTCTCTCTGCATAAAATGTCTCAGCAGCCAACTATACCCAGTGTTGATCTATAGAATATATTAACAAACTGAGGAAAACTGAGCAATACCTATTACAAGAATGCTTTTCTGGTAGCGTTCCTGAAGTAAAAGTTACTTTTTAATTACCAGTAGTTTGATTTAAAAAAAAAATCCTCCACTGTTTTTCTTTGTCACTTTTTAATATTTAATATACCACAGCACCATAATGTATCATCGTCCAGGAGAGTGGCATAACTCAGAAACACGACAGTCAAAAATCCACTCTTATTTGTCACATAATCCTTTGAATACTGATCTTATATAAGATGCTTGCTCCATATCCAAGGGAGGAAGAACAGAAATTTTTGTTGCATTTCATTTCTTATTCTCTTTGATAACTCCAGGTGTCCCAGGATATGAAATCCTGATTGCAGATTTTCTGTGGTGTGACACCATACAAATTCTTGTTTGAAGCACCTGAACTGCACAAGTGAGGTCACTGACTAAATGTGAACTCTTGGATTTGACACCTTATATTGATAAATAAGAAAGCTAAGGAGACCAGTCTAATGTTGGCTTCTAATACAATAAACAGGGCAGGAAGGCAAGTAGGAGAGATTGCACTTGCGGCCTGCAGAGGAAAGGAACACTGAAGTCTTGAAAAAAAATGAAGGACAAAGATGTTTGCATGATTTCAGTGTATGGAGTACTGGGAGCTTTTCCTGAATCTATAATAAAAGGTGACAGCAGCCACAGAAATTGCAGAGGAGACAGGAAGCCCTGTCAAATCTCAGTTGTGTGAACGCAATCATTTGCTGAAGCTTTTAGCAGGAATTGAAGTAGAGAAAATGATGACTTCCATTACAAAATGGCAGAGGTGCCTTTTTATTAAAAATCACATGTAGCAAAAGTAAATTCTGAAGTGTCATCAAGGCACCACCAATTTCTGCCTCAGTTTCACACAGCCCTTGCAAAAACGGGGAGAAACGAGTGCAAGTGGAAAAGGAGACAGCAGCCAGCTTTCCTCTGCTGTCTCTTTTGAGAGCAGGAGTGTTGCTATGTCTGTGCTGGCTTCAGGGAGAGGAGCCCTCGCATCCCGGGGCTGCTGCCGGGGGTGCCGGCAGGGGCTGGGAAGATGCAGGGAATTAAGCCAGGGACACCCTGCGGTGCCTGAGCTGGGCTGGAAACGCAGGCGTGGCTGTAGCCAACAGGCGGATGGTGGCCAAGGGGTCTGAGGGTTTTCTGCAAAGCTGGTCACACACACAGAGCCCTGGTGCCACGTCCTGTCCCAACACCAACACTTTTTGTCCCATCCCACTTCTTTTTACTGAAGCCAAGGCTATGATTTTCTTGAAAGGTAGAATTTTGTCTTTAAAAACCTACTAACATTGGTTTTTACATACAGATACTTCCAAGTACTACTTTTGCATTAAAAGATGATACAAATTTTTTTAACACCGGGTATTTCCAATATCCTGGACTCACTGTCTCAGTTTTCCTTCTTAGAAAGGGGGATTGAGAGGCTGGAAAGCCCTGGTTTTAGGTTAATTTACCTTTTACCACAAGTTTGGGGGGTGGGTGGGGAGGAGGGCTTAGCTTACATGAGGAGTTTTAAAACCAAATCGCAATACAAGCACCTAGGGACTTAACTCTAGCTGGTGGGAAGAGAATGCAAGAGGAAAGGAAAGGAAGCACTTTGCTGAAAGCTTCTTGCCCAGGCCCATCACACCTCCAGAATCAGTTTTTCAGCACAGAGCAGTGGCTGGAGCTAAGCTGCACTGGCAGGCACGCCTTTTCTCATTAGCTCTCCTTCCCCTGCCGGGAGCTCTATCTGTCACCAAGGTTTAGTTCCAGGTGGCTGTGCTGCTCCGGTAGCCGCAAGCCAGGAACCTCTGCCAAACTGAAGGGAGCAGGAATCACATCCGTAATGTAACGTGCCCTGCTGCGGGCTTCTGGCAGGCCTGCAGGGCAACAGTTGAAAGTTTTAAGAGATTCTTTTGGGGCTCTGGTATCACTTTGAACAGCTCATGCAGTGGCTAGGCTGTGTATTTTCTGTGACTCATTGACAGTGGCATTTAAAAGCCAAGCCAAAACCGCAAAGGTTTCGGACTGGCAATCAGACCACTCCTTACACAATACACAGCGGGAAAGCTGCAGCGGCAGAAAATGAAACCATTAAGGGAAAGGGGAATAGTTCTCCAGGAAGCTTAGCAGGCTTGGGTCCACGAGGGGTGGCTTTAAAGGGAAATTTGCACAAAAAAAGTATGCAGACTGCTTCACAGGAGTGCCTTTTCAGACAAATAAGCCAAGGGAAGAGAAGTCACATTCTAATAAATAGCAGCAGTTCAGTATGCTGTAAACATCAATTCTGAGTGCATTGGTGTACCACTGACTGCTGAGGTAAATATCTGGACTATTTATTTTAATTTTTTAGTCAATTAAAAATAAAATAGGGAGTGTTCTAAAGCTATGGTTCATCAGAAGACTGGAGCAAACATTTACAGTGCATATCATAGACAAGGGAGACTGAATTTCATCTTAAGTTTACTAACTTCCTTTGGGATGTTATTATACTTTTAAAAATTAACCCAACTACTTGCTTGTGGGTTTGATTTTTTGTTAGTTTGTGGTTTTTGTTTGTGTTTTTGGTTTTTTTGGTGTTTTTGCGGATTTTTTTCATTATTATTTTTTTCCTAAAATCCAATCTGATATTCCAGGCCAACACACGTTATTCTGAAGATTTATGGGAAATAAAAGTATCTTCTTAGGTTGATACAGAGTAATTAGTACCACCTCTCTTTCAACACTATGTCTCAGAACAATATGAAAGGTAATAAGCATAGTGTTGTAACACATATAAAAATAAGAAACAAAGGGGTGGTGTTCTGACACCATTCTGATCACATAAAATAATTTATTTTTTATTTCATACTTATTGAAAAACAAGTAAACAAACAAAGAAGTAAAAAATTAAACCCCTCCTAAATACATCTCTCCCAGTTACAGGGAGATGAACATACTGTGTAATGGCTTCAGATCACCTCCACTACAAATTAAAGGTATAATATTCTTTGCGGAGGATTCCAGGGCAAGCTTCATTAAAAATATATAATATTGTAGGATGAATAGCTCTGCTTCTCCAAAGCACCAAACTACTCTTTTTGACATCCTTTTACTGTTTTGCAGAATTTTACAGAAATGTAGCATAGAATGAGTCAGAAATGGCTCAATGAAATCATCACTTACTGTTTGCTGTGCTGAGACTTGTACTTGCTGCTGTAGTCACTGCTGGTGGTTGTTTTGTTGTACCTTGTGTTGTTTGTGATGCAGCACTAGGTGAAGAAGACGTGGAGCCTGACACAGGAAAGACATTCAGTTTATTTCCCCAGTTTTGTACACACACATAATACACACCTACTGTCCTGCTTGCAGACTAATTTTAAATTATCAAAAGGATATTTAATTGAAATTCAAGATTAACACTGACTGCAGGGAAAGCCACTCCCTGTCACATAGTGGGTCATTCCACTGCAGACAAGCCTGTGATAATGCGGTTGGAAGGCATAGCTTGGAGCTCCTTTTAAGCCTGACCAGAAGGAAGCTCCTTCACACACCTGAAAGGTTTCACCAATGAGTACACTCCCTGTAAAACAAATTCCCAAAACAAAACAAGAGGCACTGCTGCCTAATTTCCTCAATGACCACTAGAACAGCTTCAATTAACTCGGAGATTTTCTTACTTACTGCTTGTGATGGTTTCATTTGTAGTTTTGACTGCAATTGTTGTAGGCACTGATTCTGCCAATGTTGTTTGTGAAGTTGTTGTATTCACAGGTTCCACTATGGCAAGAAAGGCATTCACATCATTATGAATTTATTTTATCGTGCCTAAATAAACATCACATTCCTCTAGCTGCATTCTCTTACCAAGGCAGTGAATTTCTGTCTAAAGGCTGGCCATCACAGACCTTTATTACACACACATTTTGAAAGAAGATTTGAAGTACATATGGTTGGTTTCAGAGGGGAGGTTTGGCCTGTGAACAATCTGCAATTGTCTGCTGAAAGGTAGCAATTGTACCTTCCAGCCAGCCCCTAAAGGAGAAGAACATGATCTTTGGGAGTTATGCAGAGGTGTTTGGCTTTACTTCCAAGGGAAGAAGAGAGGGGAACAGAGCCTGGTGTGGATGGATGGGTTCACTGTGCTGCTGGACTACCCCTCTAAGCAGCAATTTGCTGCATAGCTGTTTAGCAGGAGAAGGAATGTAAAATCTCCATAAAGAAGTGTGAGTGACACATGGGAATACATCTTATAGATTACAGGTAAAGAGCTGAAAGGGAACAGACTTCACTAGTCTTTGGGCAACTTTTCCCTGTGCTTGCCCACCTTGAGACACATTTGTGTCTTCTTCATTGGCCAGCCTTCCCAGACCTTTTTCCTCTGCACCCTGATTTCTGGGTAAAAGGGAGCACCCAGCAGGCCCTCCTCTTTGGAGTATAGTAAAGCTTAGGATATTGTGGACAATATGAATAGTATTCTCTAGTAAATTATGCTCCTTGGGGTGAACTCGGTGCCCTTTATAAGGTGATTCCTACTTCTGTCCTGAAGTGGAGTGAGACTTGGAGGCTAGGGGGAGGGGAAAGGGCTCCTGCAGGCAGCAGGGATCCCTTCCCAGCCACTGCTGGTATGGAGAGATGGGAGCAGAATTTCCCAAACATCACTAAAGCAATTAAGCAAGGTTTAAATCACCTTGCCTTGCTGTGCACAGATGGCGTACTGCAAGTCCCATGTACCCCTGGCACTTGCTCAGAGGAATGAATTTACCAAATTACAGCAGGGAACCTGGACTAAAAAACCCTACAACTAATCAATTAAAGAGTCCAGCTTTCAGTTCTGTGATCTAATGCTACTGTCAGCTACAGAGGCTCAACTAAATACCTGACAACTACTACCTCCACCTACACATCACCTCTTCTAGCATTTTTAATGGATGGCGTATGTGAAAGAATAGGAATAAATCATTACACCCCATGTAATTTTCTCTCGTATGACTTAAGTACTTCTAAATGCAATGTTCACCCTGGAACTTTTGAAATATAACTTATACTTTCTATGCTCTCAGTTTTCTGGCTATTCACCTAGAATAGCAATGCCTCAAGGAATGGGCCTCCTTGTTCCACACTCACAAATTGCTTTAATCTCATATAGGGTTTCTAATGCTTTTCTCATGGTGGCAAAAATATCAATATTGCTTTCCCTTCCATGACAAAAAGCTGCAAGAAAAATTGCAGTGAAGCATTCAAAGAGTTAATTCACTGTGAGGTGTTGGGCGGTTATGAAATGTCTTTTAAACAGACATAAACATCAGGGTTTTTGAGAGCTGCATAAAAAAACTGCAACACAATTTGAATAGGTCTAAATCTGCTGTAACAAACAATATATGCTTATTTCACCTGGTTGCATCTTATCCACCTCCATTACTAGCACTTCAAGTCTATACTTCATAATCTCAGTGCTTTCAGCTCCACAGCACACTCATTAGTATCCTCAGTTATCAAAACATAGAATACTGTGTGCATGTTTTCTTCTCTCCCATGGATAGTTTTCTTCTCTCATATGTATAACTTATTAGATGCAGCAGTCTTCAACATTCAGACTAATAAAGGAGTTCACATGATTGAAATATGGCCTATATTGATTTTTCATACCTTTTCATAACAAAGCTGCACAATAAAGAACTGAATGCGACAGTCAAAGATGTCAGAATCGCAGAACAGAATGACAGACTTTTAACATCTGAAACAGGTATTTCTCTGCTAAATCCTCTTGAACTGGGAGTCTTTGGTAATTTATTAATCTCTGATCTCACTTGAATCACTTCCTGAGAGCATAGGAAACCTTTTTCACCTGAAATAAAAAGTGTAGCCTGCTCAAATTAGCTGTCTCCATACTAAGATACTTCGATCCTTTCTTTACAATAGAGTTTCATAAGAGATTCTGGGAAATATATTGGTCTATGATCACACTTTATGAAATAATACACCTGATTTCTCCAAGAAGTTGGAAAAGCTGAAAGCTAGAAAGACAATAGGATCTTCAGAACCCCAGATAACAGCAAATTGGAAGTCTTACCAGCTTTTGGTGTTGTTGCAGAAGTGGCTGAATTGACAGTAGTGGTTAGCTTGACAGTAGTGGCTTGAATGTCATCTTCTGAAAGAAACATAGAAAGAATCATATCACTTCTGCGCCCTCCAGATCTATTTAGCACTACATAGTCATAAAAGCAGAGAGCAGCATGAACCTTCCCGAAAAATCAAGTTCAGAAGCTTATTAGCAGAAGCAACCAAATCACATAACTCTGCTACCAACATTTTCAAGCTATAGCCTAAATATCTTCATTTTGCCCCGACTGCTGTAATGGGGAGTATCTGCCGCTGCCTCCCACCTTGGACTGCATGCTCTTTTCCCACTGGTGTCTCCCAGACTAGTTGGGAGGGGAGAAATGGAAACAATTAAAGTGGTTTTTGCCATCTCCTCCTCTCCTTGAATACAACCATAGCTGCTCTGAGTCTTCAGGGTGAAGAATTAACTAAAATAACTGGCCACAGGAGTAAGCAGCCCATCTCCTGCCTTGTAACAAAATTGTACTAGCTCCCTGGCTAGTACAAGCATTTCAGGAGGGCTTTTCAGCATCACTCTGATCTCTCAATGTGAGACGAAGGGGAGAATTCCCAGAACATGGCTTGAGAAGCACCACATTGAAAGACTGACTTTCCCCATTGCCCTCAATGCACTGCTCCAGCTATTGGGGTTTACAGCTGTAAATGATACCAGTCTTACAGGGTCATTAGTAGGTGGCTCTTCAATATTACAAAACAAATAAATTATCCAAAAAAGAAACTTCAACAAACAAAAAGCAAAATAATTTCTGTCTCTTCTTACTGTGCTGCAAGGTTGTAACATCATAACTCAAAAACTGTTTTGGCTTCAAACAAGATTTTCAGTCTTATTGCTTCAGTGTTCACATTTTTCTACTAAAAGGACTTAGGGGGTGTTGAAGGGGGTGAAAAAGCTGCACTGACTCAGAAACAGGCATTTCTCAACCATTTCAGTCCACTGAGAGACAAATATGGGTACATTTGTGGAGGAATAGATCAACTCTAACTGAATGGGAGAGGAAAATGGCACAGGCTAATCCCCATGTGCTGTCAGGTTTGAAGCGTGACGTTCTGTCAGGCTGCATTAGCATGCTGTAATACAGACATGCTAAACTGAGTCAGGACAGCATGTCAGTATTCTTGTGTGACTCCATTCATGGTAATATCTGCTGGCGTTCTCTCTTTTTTTGGCTACAGGGCAGAACAGTCAGTTTTGTTCCCTTTGCTCAGTGTATTGCACTCCGATTAACATTTCACGAGCACCACCCGAAGCCTGTAAGAGCCACAGACTTAACCTGGAAAAAAAACCCAACAACATAATACAATTGCAGGGGCTCTGCAGAAATGTATTAAGGTCTAACCAAATGACCCTTACAATTCCTCTCCAAGCAGTGTGTTATCAGCCCTCTTGGCACCTGCATGTTTCTAACAGGTCTGAGCCTCTTCCCAGTGAGCCTCACTCTCTTGAGCATCATCTCTAGATATGCTGTTGCGTCCATAATGCCTTGTCACAGCACATGCTGGCCCAGTTTGATATGGGCATAGCCTATATAAAATTAAATGAGTCGCCTATGGGCCTGCTGCTGCTCCAGCTCTACTCCCCAGAACATGGGGACAGTCACACCATGCACAGAGTCGTGCATGCTGCTTCTAAAATACAGGTTTTCTTGCCATTTGGTTACTCAGTCAGAGTAATGCTTCATAGCCCACACTTGAAATACTTGGAAAACAAATTTTATCCAGAGAACCCTAAAGGCAATCTTGTTTCCTAAAACAGCGAGCATTTTTCCATCTTTTCATTCTCATTATGTGCTGCTGACAAAACTCCTGTAATCTCCCACACCACAAGGCCACAGCACTGGAACAGAATGTTTTTTCAACAGTGCCTACATTTCATATGGTTTTGTTTTAACATATCTCACTAGCTACCATGTCTTAATGACAGCTAAACGTACTAGCTGGCCAATCAGCTCGTTCCCAAACTCACTCTTCCCAAAACTAACTCAGCATGACTTTGTAGGAAGCTCATTACAATACTTAGATTATTCATCCTTTAAAGGTGTTCCATTTAATAACCGTGCTGATAGGCCAAAAGTTTCCTCAAAACTAAAAAAAAAGGTCACAGTTTTGTTATGACTCACTATTTGTTGATTTTATTACAGGTTAGAGATAAACTAAGGTGAATTCAATTAACAGAGTACAATAGAGTTTTATGAATTAATTGTTTTCTTAAAATGGTGAATAATTAAGTATAATTTAAAAATAAGTTGAAAACATCACGCAAAAATGCTTAAAACTTGACAGAATTATAGGGGGGAACTGTTAGATTAAAAGATATGATAGAACTGGTGGCTTATTATGCTCTTATTTGCAATGTTAAATTGTAACTAAGAAGAATCCCATGGGGGATAAAAGCAAGAGATCAAAAAACTGTAGAGAAAAGAATTTTCACCATTTGAGACTGCTGATAGACAAAGAGAGGGACAGAAATCTTTAATTTTTCTGCTCATATCACGTTGGCTGCAGCCTCAGATGATGGACAACTCAGTAAAGTTACAATTGCCTGATTTTCTAGCAAATTTGAATGCAGAGATCCCTTTGATATGAGAGCACATGGATGTACTCTGATGTAGGAGTAGCCAAAATCTACTCAGCAATTGTTCCCATACAGAAATCACTGCCATTTACCATTTTTGCTGCAATAAACCTGGCTAAAAGAGCATGGGAGGCCTGTGATGCAGCACCCTTGTGTCGGGAGAGCACACATGGAGCTAAAAGGCTCTCAGACACACACAGCACTGTGCTGAGTAAAGAGGGAATGCTGGTAGTGGTAAGATCCAAAAAGGAAAAAAAAAACCAACATGTCTTAAAGCAGATAATAAGGCAAGAAGAAATCCAGACTGGGAGAAACATAACAGGAGAGGAAGAAGAGAAGGACAGAAAAGTCTAGAGACAGTAAGGCAGGGTCACAGGAAAAAATATGAAGGAATTAAGAGAAGATCCAAGAATATGGGACTCATGGCCACAAGATCAAACTGAAAAGAGAGCAACTGTTGTGGCTTGTTTGTTTTGGGTTTTGTTTCAGGTTCACAGAATTTCCATTTATTGTCTTTTCTAGGTTGGATTTAAATGGTATATTTGTTCTAAAATGAAAGCATTGGTCTTCAGATTTCAAAATGGATGAACTGAAACACCAAACTTATTTTCTTCTTTTAAATTCAGAAGGAGTGCTTGAATTTAGACAGGGCTGACCAATGGCCACAATTGTCCTCAGACTGCAGCTTTTAAGGTAGGCTTCAGTCTCTCTGAGCTCGGAGTTCTCATAACCTTTTCTCTCTCTTTCTCTTATTATTTTTACCTTTACACTGGAAAAATAAACAGGTTCTGACCACATGTTAATTGTACCTGTTACTGCTATAATCAGGACAGAAAAAAATATAAAGGAATGATTGCATGTTATTATATCAGTTCTTCTGTTTATACCCTACAGGACATCACAGGTCACAAACCACAAAGTGTAAAACACCACATCAAACAGATAGTACAAAACTGAATGCCAAAGCAAAAACATTTTTAAAGATTAATAGATTGTTCAAAGTATATACCGATTATATTCATTGCATGAATTACTGAATTTAAGTGCTGTATGGTTTGGCATCAGTATCTGACATTGAAAATAAATTATTTTTATAGAAAAGTCACTGCTGTTACAGAAAACAACTGGAATTGCCCATTCGACATTTCTTTCACTTGACATTGCACTAGATAGAAAAAACCATATGGCTAAAATCCTTTCATTCAGATGAAGCACTTGGTGCAGCTTCAGAAGCATGTTAAGAAGGATGTGGATTCCTGGAGGCAGGGAGTTAGCAGAGAACCATAAAAATCATCAGGAGTCTAGAGAAAAATGACTTCTCAGGAAAGATTGCAAAAATTGCATTAGCCTAGAGAAGGAAGGATTAATGGAAGGCACAACAGCAATCAGTAGGTGAGGAGCTGCAGCCAAGACAAAGGAATAAACTTATGTCCACTAAAATTTGAATGAGAGGTAATGGACAAGGGAAATCTGGACTATAAACTCTCCAGGTATTTTGGTGTCTGTGTCAAGCTCTTGGCATAACAGCCAGAAGCTGATGTTGTAACCATTTAACTGATGAGGATGTAATATATTCCTACTCAAAACCTAAGCCATGCTCTATGGCTGTACCTGGGAACAAATACCAAAGAGATATCCTGAGGAAACCTGCACATGATAATTCCTTGCTTCAAGGTTATAAAGCAGAATCTACAGATGCTTATATTATGTTTGTCTATTAGGTATTATCATAGAATCACAGAATGATTTGGCCTGGAAGGGATCTTAAAGATCATCTAGGTCCAACCTCCCTGCTGTTGGCAAGGATATCTTCCACTAGACCAGTTTGCTCAGAGCTCATCCAATCTGGTCTTGAATGCTTCCAGGGAAAAAGCATCCACAGCTTCCCTGGGCAACCTCTTCCAGTACCTCACCACCCTAATGACTTCTAGTCTAATTCTAGAAAAAATTTATTCCTAATATCTAATCTAAACCTACTCTCTTTCAGGACGTTACATTATGCTTTTCTGTGTGACTCTGGACCTTTGCAACTACACTTAAGTCATGGAGAAGTCAAAGTTGCTTTTTTGATTTCTGTTTTTCCACACCATCAGGAATAAATAGCGATCTCTTTCTAGCCTATGATAATTCTGCCAGCCCTCATGACCATGAAAGAGCCTCCTGTAACCACTGTTGCAGCAGTACCCATGTAAAGACTGTATAGTTCATAAAAAAAAATTGTCTTTTTTTGAGAAGGTGATAGCTGTCCTTGTAAGCAAATCTGGTATTGATCTGGGAGCTCAGAGTTCCCAAGAAATAGCCACTGCCCGACCATGTACACAACTGCTTTTACCTTGGACCTCTGTTGTCTGTTACGTTTTCTCTTTCCTTTAATGCTGCTTCATCTCTACATTCTCTTATTCTCTTATTTCCCCAGCCCTAGTACAGTCCTTGCACTTCTCCTGTTTCTGTTTTCA